TTGTCTAGAAATATACAGAACGAGACAGACCAAACCCGCCTTCGAAATTCTCAGAAAAATATTTCTCTTCACTTCCCTAAAGAAGGGGACTAACGTGTTTGAACCGGAGACCTCTTAATCTGCAGTCGAATTCACTACCACTGATCTATATCCCCGCGTCAGCGAACCTTTGCTTTGCGTTGCTTGGAACGGATGTGGAAATGCTTTGTCTAGAAATATAAAATTAAAAGACTTTTAGAAACGCTCCTTCACAATTTTTACATCAGTAAACGGTTTTATATGTTTACCAATAACGTAACATACCTTATATGTTGTCTTTGTTACTGCTGTGATATTAGCACTGACAAAACACTTTGTTCCTTTTGCAAACAATATTCAATAAAGCCTATTTACATGTCTTGAAAGAGATCTTGGTGAAAAAGTAACATTAAAGGATTAATGTTTACTGGTATTTTTAAATACAGCAATTTCGTGACAAATTAAACAAGTACTGATCCATGTTTTTTTTTCACTGCAATACAGTCAGCCTCGAAATCGTTGGAATGTTTTTCACTTGCAAGGTATAAAAAATTGTTAAAAATTACCCATATAAATTTGTCGCTACTCTACTTTTGTCTTTTATTACTAACTGTAACCATTATAAACAGAAAAAGAATATCAATTCGCAGCCGTTCAACATCGACAACAAAAAAAGCAAAATTGATATATTTCATTTCTTGTCAAAGAATTTTCCACCAAATTTTAATACATTGTTCTGAAATAAGTGAATTTCTCAGAAAAATGGGTCATGACCGGGTTACTTAAAAAGGTTTGGTGGGCCACAGGTTGAATATCGCTGGTTTAAATGAAACTATTTAATAATGTGATGTGTATGTAAAGTTAAACATAGAGATTTGAGGTTATTAGATAAATGTGTGTACATGCATTTGCACGGAAAACTTACTAAGCAATGGTTTTTATCATTTAAACTTTGATACGTAATTAAGGATTGTTTATATTTTTAATGTTGATATTTTGAGCTGTTTTAACTCTTAAAAAAAGTCAAATGTTTGTTCAGGCAATGATGAACTAACTCAAACGTTTTACTTCTGAAGCAAATTTGAACGAGTATTATCTAAATTTCAAATATTTTCTGTCATAGATTCTGCTTTCAACATAAACTTGAAATCCATTGTGATTCATTCAAACGTAACATCTGTGGCTGGTCATCTAAAGTAATAAAATTATTTGTAAATATTGAGAAATAAAGAGAGAATGTGCAGACATGCAATTACTAATAAAATTTGGGAACACAGCGTTTTATTAAATATCAAATGCAACGATGGAATGTATTTCATGTATTGCATTTTGACAAAACTCTTTCGAGATAAAAAAAAAATTCAAATAGATCCCAAAAATATGAATGGGTTCTTAAACATTTAAAAATTAGTGTTTGAGTTTTCCATTTAAATTATCAAAAAAATAAGAGAATTTGAAAAAAATAAATAAGTTAAAGATTAATGTATCTGGATATGCATAGGAAGACATTTTTCCGAAGTAGTGTCAGTTCTAAAGAAAATAAATGCACAGAAATTCATTTACTTATTTATTTATTTTTGATAAATAATTTTTTTTAATAAAATGTTCAATAGTTTAATGAAAAACAAAAAGAGCATTTTTGAAAACATAGCTGTTTAGTGGTTTTCAATGATCAAATGCTTTATAACATTACACAATTTTCTGTATTAAAAAAAATACAAAAGGTTTAAATTTTGCGAAAGCTTAGTCTGAAGTTTACCAATTAATTAAAATGCTCTACATCATCTTTTTTTGCATTCTGGCTCATTATGAATCTTTAACTGAAATAATTAGTGGTACCCCAGCATCTTTTTTGGGGCACTTTTTAATAGATAATAATAAAAGCAAAAGTGATTAATAAATGACAAATTTATATGTATCCTGATTTAATAAGTGAAAGAGGAAATTATACATTTTGAGAAATAATTTTATGTAATCAAAAATAGAGAAAACAACTCAAAAGTTGGAGGCCAATGGTTAATCTTTAAATAAAAGATCAATTTCGAGAACATGACTACTCAACTGCTGTAGTGACGGAAATCTTTTAATGAAAAAATAAGGCAAGCACAATAATTTAACAAGATAAATTTTCTATAAATGAAACAGAAAGCAACGATGGACTCAATTATAAATAAAAAAGTGACTCAAATTCTTTTCGTTTCTTTTTTTTCATACTTCTACATTCCAATCCCTCTCGAGACACTTCTAATAAAATAGTTATGTCGTTTGACAAAGTTTTGAAAATTAATAATATATATTGTATAAAAAAGTGTTTTGCCAACAACACACATGTTATTTTATTATTTATTTCCTTCCAATAGTATATGCAGTTTTGTCTTTCATTCAAGTATCCACGCTTGTACCATACAACTTTCCATAAATTAATGTTTATACCATGAATTTCAAACATCACTATTGTTTATAGTTGATCAAAATAATTATAAAAAAATTGTCATTGGAAATTAGTCATTACCTTAAGTTTTGAATATTTTTGAAAAAAAAATTACATAAAAAAATGCACTCAAATAACTTTATGTAGAATATGCTAATATTTCGAAAATGATTTTTACATACTCTTGACACTCTTAGAAAAGCGCAAGAGTATGCTTGCACAAAAAATTGTTTCTTGCAATACGTTTTCCATCATCCTATTATTTAAAACTTAATTGCCATTTTAATGAATTTATTCTAAATCACACACAGTTGATCAAAACAATTTTAAGAATTACTTTAGATCTCAGCGTGT